GACAGTACTAAATAAAAAATAACATGCAATTTTCATGAGCTCTCTCTTATTTAGTTAAAATTATTAACATATTTGCATATTCTGCAAGGGGTATGTAATCTTATGAGCACAACTGTATATACATAACAAATATACACAGCACACACATATATTGTGCAAACAAGAACATTTATTTTGGATGCAATTAATTGCGATTAATTGTTTGCATCAATGGACACGCCTCATCCGTCATCTGTAGATGTGCGTTCAGTAGTGTAGTGTGCACATGAGCAGACACACATCCAGCTGCAGCAGAGCGTCTCAGACGTGTGTGTGTGTGTCCTGTGTGTCCGTGAGAGTGTGTGTGTGTGTTTGTGTCCTGTGTGTGTTTGTGTCCTGTGTGTGTTTGTGTCCTGTGTGTGTTTGTGTCCTGTGTGAGTGTGTGTCCTGTGTGAGTGTGTGTCCTGTGTGAGTGTGTGTCCTGTGTGAGTGTGTGGCCTGTGTGTGTCCTGTGTGTGTGTGTGTGTGTGTGTGTGTGAGTGAGAGTGTGTGTGAGTCCGTCAGGCGTCATTGTGCTCTTCCCAAACCCCATCCAGCTCTCTCTCTGCTGCAGTACACTCACTCATAATGGAGCTTGTTTAGTTTGAGCTGCTGGTTCTGATAGACTGCTTAAAGTCTCCTCCTCAGTGGATGACAGCACCAGGAAGGTGGCGGAGAAACTGGCGCGCTTCGTGGCGGACGGCGGCACGGAGGTGGAGATCATGGCTGCTCAACACAACCGAGACAATCCTGCCTTCAGGTGAGATGCTCCTAAAGGAGATTTAATCAAACCAGACCGTCTGTGACTGGAGAAACTGAGAAGAAGGCCTGTGGCATTCACCTGTGTCAAACACCCACAATGCACTATATTTAACATGGATATTAAACTCACCAGAAAGTGATTAAAGACGTTGTCTAGAACAGGGAGGCACTGATAAACAGAAGATGATGTTTTTTGCTCTTTCTCAGTTTCCTGTATGACTATCAGAGCGCGGCTCATCGCTTCTATAAGGCTAAAGTGGACGAGTTCCGTCAGGATAAGAGCAGCAGCGAATCGCAGACGGCCGTCTCACAGGAACACACACACACCGCCGCCAAGAGGAAGAGGAAGAGCCGCTGGGGAGCCGAGGATGATAAAGTGGAGCTGCCCACGCCAACGCTTATCAGCCCTGCTGCTCCAGCGGCCGGATCCAGCACTCCTGCACTGACAGGTACTCACACACACACACTCACACACGGACACACACTCACACACGGACACACACTCACACACGGACACACACTCACACACGGACACACACTCACACACGGACACACACTCACACACGGACACACACTCACACACGGACACACACTCACACACGGACACACACTCACACACGGACACACACTCACACACGGACACACACTCACACACGGACACACACTCACACACGGACACACACTCACACACGGACAC